CATTCTTTCTGCAACCACAGCGTTTTACAAATGTAAAGGTTGAAAAATGACTTAGATGCGGTAGCATAAGTGCGGTGTGTATCGAAACAAAGTAGGCTGAATTGGCTTGTGCAATTTATTAGAGTGGTGATTGGATTTTAGTCATTACAAAATTTTGTCAATTTGGCCGCTACTGCCCGCTTATAGATTAACTTACGTAAGCACGATCTATATTCAGTTGAATCAAAATCGAAATCAGTCATAAATAAAACAAAAACTAGATTTTCTATGCTACTATCAGTGATTGTATATAATTTTAAAAAAAAGGAGATCATCCTTAAATGCCAGAAGCTAGAAGAAAGAAGAGCATCCAGAAAAACAGAAATGTGCAGGAACGTTCGCAAAAGGGTGATAAATTGACGACACCTACGACTGGAAAAAACGCGGTAATTTACCAGCTTAAGCATTCACGACGACCTTATGAAAGAAGTGCTTTGATTAGAGAGATTTAACAGCTAACAGCAACAGATTACAGCGAGAACTAATTACGTGTAAACTCTCAAAACGAGAAAGTCCCAGCCAACTGGATGATACAAGCAACCAGATTTAAGCATAAGGGTGACCTTAACATTTTGAAGCAGATGATCGAGATAATTCAGTTTGAAGGAAGGACTGTCACAAAAGGGGTTTTCAGCATGCAATCAATATTTAGGTTTTTAAGCATTTTAAACCCTACCTTACAACATCATTGAGATCCACATCAATCTCCGGGAATCCATCGCCGGCTTTGAAAAATATGAGATAAGCAAGGTAGATGAATCCTATGCCAATAATGACAGCGAAGGTATTTCGGGCATGCAGACGAACCTGCATGCTTGGGGTAGATTTATTCTGAAATTCAGAGGTTACTACTGTGAACTGAGGATCAAATAATTATTTTTGACCTAAACTAACCAACGGTGCGTACATGCTCTGAATTTTATCGACCGAGAATAATCAGCGGAAAGTAACAGAATTATTGCGATATGGATTAGCCGTACCTGTGATGCAGCCCACAACGAGCTGGATATAACAAAGGACCGGCGGGACCAATCTGCGAAAGCGCACGGGCAATGACGATTAGATCGCAAGGTGCAGCAATCTACGATGACATCTCTGCTCTAACTGAACGCTCGAAAAGAAACACTAAAGTCCATAATGATAGATTTTTTAAAGAACTCTTGAAAGATTTTGGTTCGAATATCCGAATAAGACGTCAACTTATGCAGAATGAAAAGAAAAGCGATTTTATTTTACTAGCATATGAGCCCGTATAAGGAATTCTAGTACATTGAAGGATGAAGGAAAGGACAGGATACCGAAAATAACAAGAAAAGGTGACGCATAATCCATTCGTAAACTAAAAGACTTCACGAGGGATTTGAGATCGAAAGAACCTGAAATGAAGCACATAGAAGTTTTGACATG